GTGGGATCGTAGAAAACGTGAGATAGAAGGTGCCATATTGCATTTACCTGACAGACCCTTTGTTTTTCACTTGGCTATTATTTAGGCACTGATATGAATGCAGGATGCCCTCCGTTACAAAGCACTGCTGAAAAAATTGTCGTTATGAATAAAGGCATGGATATCACGGTAGAAGAAATATTTTTTTCGACTGAGGTTGCCATTCCTTTGCTCTAGATTATATGCAGAGAAGGTTATGAGTTTCCAAAGGAATTTATGGACGGACGTTCTGTCTGTGTCAATGGTACATGGTCACCAACACCGCCGGAATGTGTACCAAGTATGGGAACAGCACTTTCAAACTTTTGTTAAGAATTAGGGTTTTTTTTCTAGAGTCTTGTCGAATACCTGCGCGACTTCATGTATTTTTCCTCAAACGACGAACTTCTCAAATCTTACAGTCAGGTGACGTTATTGAAGATGGCACATCGGCAACGATGATTTGCCTGCGCGGGTTTCATCTACAAGGTAAGCTCGACCGAGCTTTGGCCATTTTTTAGCTATATTTTTCGATTTCGTTGCTTTAGGGAACGGCGAGCTCGAATGTCGTCGCGGAGTCATTGTTAGGCCAATTGGACATTGTTTTCCTCGTAGGTTCATCTTGGCTTTTTTTCAACATCTTGAGGTCAGGCTTAATTCCTTCCAGATGAATGCCTGATTCCGTCGCTGGCTATTGGGACCATATATCCTCAGGGGCGAACATTAGCAGACGGCCAGACGGGGACGCTCGTTTGCCCGACGAAGAACATTACAGTCAGCTGCAGCAGAGGGGTGATTAGCCCGGCACCGAATTGCATTGGAAATGGTGGGTATTATAGGTTCTTCGTTTCTTTTTATCCCTTTCTATTCATCTTCAAAGCTCTGGTAACAGTTTGGTCATTGATTTTTGTGACTTTGCACTTCTAATGTGGCTTTACCCTTTTAGAGCAAACTTTGACGGATGATTGAATAATAATCATCTTATTTTTATTTGTGTGTGTTTGTTTTGTTTTCATGCGCGGATGTTTGTCTTTTTTCAGCCACAACATTTTGTGCTGCACCGTTGGACACAACACCAGCCCTCATCTATAGCATGCAGAATAAACAACGGATAGAACTTGACCGATTCCAAACCGCATATCCTAATGGCACTATCTTCCAATACAAGGTGTGTAACGTGTTTGGACTTCAATCACAAATTCTCAATCGTGACTTTTGGATTTATGAGCCTCTAATTTTCTCGGAAAAATAGTTTAGTTTGTACACAGTATAAGCAATGCATATTTGTGACGTTTCCTGTAATTTTGGCAAAGATCACTGTGGACATGCGCTTACAACATTTTTACTGCAGATTTTTTAGTGCGTCGAACAACGTGAAGAAGCAAATGGGATAGAATGTATCAATGGCGAATGGATCAGCAATTTGCTTCCATGCTGTAAGATAGATGTTCATTGCTTTTTTTGAGGCTATCAATCAGTTTCCTATCGTTAAGTGTCCGAAAATATTACGGTGCGCAGCTGGAAGAGTCCATTAGAAGAAAC